TCATGACCACACTCATGTGTTTGTGTTCCCCCTGTCCTGTCTCGCTTTGTGTTTGATCACTGAGCAGGAGCGATGAAACCTCAATCTGATGTCGCATGCACCAGACTCTCTTTCTCTCTCTCGTGTTTGGCCAGTCTGGGAGCCAGGATTGTTCTCAAACCACAGCGAGGAAAGTTGTCTCCATCAGCCCGGCCTGGCCCAGAGAGCTGGACCCACTGTATGTAGTGCCAAATGAAAAGTGACCTGCCCCCCACCCCCCGGGGGGAACAGCAGGTTCCAGGAGGCGGACCTAGTTGAACAGATGCACTTTGGATCATTCTAAAATGGACTGAAAGAACACAAACTTGACCACCTCCAAGTCTTCAGGGATTTTCATGCTTTGTTGCCCAGTCTGGAAGTGCTGCGTGTCTGGAATATATATATTTTCTTTATCTATCAAAATTGGTCTGGGGGAGCCTCAGCAGCCACCACATGTTTGGGCCTCTGGAAATGTATTACTGTGCAGATGTTTTCATTGCATATTTGACAATGGGGTGGAGCTAGGGGCCAATGTGCTTGAAGATGGCTGCAACTAGGAGCCACTAAGAACTGTAAGTTTTGACTTGAGTGACAGATCAGGATTGGCCCAGTTTTGGAGGACACCGTGCTGGGCTTCTCCTAGGATGGAGGGAAATAGCACCTTTTGAATTAAAGCTGGAGGGTGCAGCAGACCTGGCTGTGCAGAGGACTGTGTGAGACCTATGCTAGACATTCCTTAAGGACCACAGCTGGCTTTGCATTGAATCTGGAGGCCCCAACCCAGGGGCCTCCCTCTGCAATATATGTGTGTGTAAGTGCCACGGTCATGCTTTTTTCTGATCCAGCAGCGAGCATTTAAACACACCTTCCAAGGTGCAATTGAAGCATATTTAATCCAGGGTGCATTTCAGTCTCGGGCTGTCTGGCACATACAGAAAAATAGGAGTCTGACATCTTGGTTTTGCCATACTAAGCAATTATAGAATAGGAAAGGAATTTATCATCATCCAAATAGCTTTTCCAGGATACTATGTAAGTACATAGCTGTTCCGCAGGACAGCAGCTAGTACCACCTGCACTTTTTTGGCCTAAGGAAAGTTTTTAAACATGTTGAATGAAATAGTAGGTTTGTTCCAGAAACCCAGAGCCATTTCCCCAGGATGTTCATCGCCATCATGCTGCCTACATTCATGGACTGTACAGTTTAGCGTCAGCTGTGGATCTTGTTCTTCTCTGGCACGTTGCTTACTCCAGCCTTGGTGCTTCAGATTGCAGTGGGATCAGGGACACAGGACCAGTATATCCACTGGCTTCAATGGAAATGTTCCTCTTTGGATCACGAAAATTACTTTCTAACTGCTTTGTTTGACAGCCACTTCTCCAAGCTCAGCCCACCATTCCAGTAACTTGGCCCCATCAGAGTGCTCCAAGAGGCAGCCCATCAGGTGTTGAGCACCATGGGTGTGGCCTGCTGAGCCATCAGTCCATGCTGCAATTATTTTCGTAGAAAATGACAAAAAGAAAAAAGTCCCGCCTCCCGCTCCTCCCAGCCAGTTAGCACGTGTTTCCCTGTTGCTACTGTGGCTGGAGCAGGAACGCTGCCTTGATGTCTCCCCAAAGCGCCTGGCTCTCATGCCAACAGGTTGCTGCCTTTCTGCCTCAGAAGCCTTCATTTTTTTCTACACTCAGCCAAGCCTGATGCCTGCTCATAATGGGGATTTTCATGCTGGTCCTTTTGGAAAGTACTTTTTTTATAATGTTCACTGGGAAAGAGATTTTTCTGCTAAGGGAGAGTGGGAAGAGGGGGGCAGCTTGGGGAGGGTGAAGGCACTGTTATTTTGATGTGTTTTTATTATTATTATTATTAATTATTATTTTTATTTGACCATTGCTGAAGGATGTTCTAATTTAAATAGCTGAAAAGCCCTTGGGGTTATGCTTTGTAGCAATGTTAAATCTTGTTAGCTGGGGTGCAGAAACTGATGCGCTTTATTGACTTAAGCCAAGGTTTGCACAATAAGGAATTAATTGGGACTTGACTGTTGTCATGGCCTGGCTTGTCAAAGAAAGTAGTTCTGAAAATTAGGCTTTTCTTTTCAACACCTCTAGAAATATTGGCCATTGCTGTTTAGCCTTTTGTGGCCTCTGTACTTGCCAATTCCAAAACCTTTCTTGGAATGTTTTGACGTATAGAATGTGATTCTCTGAAATCTGTATAACATCAACTTGGCACTGCAGTGGCATCTACAATGCTAAGTAGGTGGCAGGGGATGAAGACCAGCCTCTTCAGTGTATGGATTGATCTAGTACTGTGTTATTTCCATTGAGTGTTCCTTCTGAACCATTTGGCTTTAGCTGGTTAAGTGAAATGAGACTCCCCTCTCCCCCCAAGTCTGTACAAAAGAAGAGCCATTTGCCCAAGTTCTACCTGGAGGCTGTATTGCTGTTGTGTTCAACCCCATTTTGGTCAACTTCTGCTGCTCATATTGAAGCAAACTGGAGATACACATGGAAATAAGATTCAGCTGGGCAGGAACTAGTTTGGCTTCCTAATATATGGCTTGCTGCAGTTATTCCAGGACAAAGGAATATTTAAAAAACCACAGGACTTCCCATGTTGTCCTAGAAGCGTTTCCCCTCACAACCCACAGGTGAATGCAAAATGGTAAGCGATGCTTCCAAATGCAGGAAATGGGACACACTCTTGGCCATCCCATACCTATAATAGCTTTTCTCAGCCCTGTGCTGTTCAGATGTGTCTGAACTACAAGTCCCATTGTCCACAACCAGTAGGATCCATTAGTTATACAAACTGAGGGTTGTTGGATGTAGTCCAATACATATGAAAGGCATTGACTGGGGAAGGCCAACTCAGAATGCAAACATATCCCTACAATTAGAGTAAGCAGATCAGAAGAAAAAGTCACTAGGACAAGAATGGCCTTCCAGATGTTACTAAGTTATGGTTCTAAGCAGCTCCAGCCAGCCTGGCCAATGTGATAAAAGCTGGGAATTGTTCAGCAGTATTTGGAGGGCTACAGATTTCTTACTGCTGGACAAGGAGAAGCAAATCAAGACGGCTTCCCTCTCAAATTGCCACCTATAAAGGTGAAGGCTAGTTAATTCCTGAATATCTTTATTCTGTTCTGGTATGCTGAATGAAGATTGGAAGGAAAGATCAATGGCTACTCTACAGTGTCTTCCATAAAGCCCCACCCCTGCATAAAAACACTGAAATTATATTCGTCTCCAGCCAACATTGGATTATGTTTTCTGTCAGGGCTCCATTACAGGCAGCTATCAAACAAATGAAGCCTTGGGAAATTTTCCTTATTGGAAACACCTTCACTTACTATATTTTGGCTTCCCTGAAACCATTCAAAGTATTGGATTTCTACCAGAAAAAAGCACTGGTAACCTGCTCCATCATCCTAACCCCTAGAGTACCTCTAATGCTGAGTTTTTAGACTGTAAGTCAAATGCACAAAATAGCCTACAATAACTTCCTATGCAAAATCTTTCTTATATGGCAAATCCATTAATTGAAACAAACTTGAAAGCAGTGGTAGTAAAGGATTCAAAAGCTCTCTGCAGCAGCGGTGACTTCCAGGGAAAACAGTCTTTCCACCTATTCCTGTGCCAGGTGGGACGGAATTGGAGGGGGAAGGTGCGCCACTCCATTCATGACCAAGGAAGTGTTAAATCTTAACTGTATCAAAGACTGAGAAACTGTCTTTTATGGGGAGCTTGATGTGAAGAGTTCAGCTTTTGCTTCATCACTGCAGCCAATTAATCTTTTAGTGTCTATCTGCTGTCTATAAAGAGCTAATTAGCTGTTTTACCTGTGGAAAGGATGTATTTGACATGTCTGCTTTTTAATTTATTATTTTTTAAAGATGTATATGCATATATTTACAACTGAGCACACCTTTCATTTCCTAGGCAATAAATCGCCACCGCCATTGTCCAGACCTAAGCATATGCCATTGTAGGTTCAAGGTTCTTGTCTTCTAATATGAGTTCCCATTGATTCAATCCATCCTTTTCCTCTTCACTAGCTAGTAAAGTCATTTCCAACAGCGCTCAGCTAAAGCCATGTACAGTTGTTTCCATAGTCTTGAGTAGCTGTGATGCATGCAGATATTCAAGAAATAAATGCTTTCTTGTCACAGCCTCATCAAGCTGAGCTGGAAACGGTAGTCTTTAAATTTCTGCTTGGCAAACAGCTGTTGAAGTTGGTGGAATATTGTCAGGGAAACAAATCATACTTTTCCTTGAGAAGCCCAGTTTGGTGGAAGGGGAAAGCATAGGAAAAGAGCCCTGATGGTTTAATTCTTTGGAGGAACAAAATGGCTTTCCTAATTCTGAATGTGTTGCAGGCTCTTCCTTTGATATAAATATCTCAAGTGTACAGGGAGGGTTCTTAATGTAAATATAATAGAGTTCACCTCCTTTTCCTAAATAATAAAACCATAGTTCCATGTAGGTGGCTCCATTTCAATGCTTTGTCCATATCTTTGCTAGAAAATTGAGTAGGGAAAGGGAAGACCAAGAACCTGAATTCAGTAGGAAGAACTGAAGCTATTACATTTCCTTGCTATTGGGTAGGGGTATTGTGAAAGAGAATCTAGATTATTTCTCTTCCAATAAGCTGTAACAAATATATAGGGAAATGACCCCTAGCTCTGATGTTAATGATTTACCAATCACGAGAAATTCTTAATCTCTGTGGAAACATGACGGGTCACTGCAGATTTTATAATTCATCCAGCTTTTGTCTGCTATGCTAAAATGTACAAGGTCTATCTGGGGAGCTTCCATTAATAGTATCAAAATGGGACAAATGTCAAACTGCTGTTGCTGAAAAAGGAATTACAATATTGGTTCTCATCTCCCTGAATGAGCACTGATCACCAAGGAGGTAATAATGGAATTACTTGAATTGATTTTGCTACAAAAGTCGATACACAGGTGTATGTGTGTGTATTTTTTATTAGAAAAGCATATATTTTTCAGAAATTAGTAAATTTAGCTACAACATACATGAATATAGTGGAAGAATTGATACTGCATTTTGTCACAGTATTTGCTCTCTCAATCTTACACAAGGCATAAGGATTTATGTACTTCACTGTTGCAACTACTTAAGCTGCAAAGAATTATTCACATTCCATTCCTTAGTATTTGCCGGAGGAAGAATTTCCACATATCCAAGAATCATTCCACAGACTTTGGATAGAGTCCTGTCAATGTATAGTCTTGAAACTAATACAGTATTGCAGAGTTTAACACATTAATACATCACTTTCTGTGCAGTGATTGCTAAATAGTCTCAACCTCCTTCACTCACAGCTATATTGCACATTGGGGAAGCACCATTTTAATTTAGAGTAGGAAGAAGCTGAAAATTTTGTCCAAGGCATCTTCCTCTGTGGTAGATTGTTGCAAATTTAAGTAGATGGCTGATGAAGGCAGACAGGTAGATCTGTTCAAAACTGAGCTTCTAAGAATTCCACTGCAGCTATTTAAAACTATTCTTTGATCTTTATGTAGGTCTTTGTACAAAACTGGCTTGCAAGCAAGTGTATTTTCAATATTGTGTATTGCTTTTCCATCTTTTTAAGGAAGGAGGGTCTAAGCCACAAATGCACTAATACTCAGGAATAATAGAAAAATGCTAATTATATGAATGTGATTTGTGTCTTGGGATAAATCTTTATCTTTAGCAACTGTATAACAGATAGAGGAAGTTGATTTTTTTTTCCATCTCTGTCTAGGTTCCTAACTTTTATGCAACTATTAATAGCGCAGGAGCTCTGTGAATAAATAGTAGTACCACTGACCATCCTCAGTTTAATATAAAGAGGAGGTATGGAATAAGTATGAAAAGATAAGGGGTTTGAAATAAGAGCTGTGTAGCCTTTCACATAATAAGAATCAGAAGCTTTCTTACTCTTAAGTTTAACCAAAAGAAACAATTAAGTCCTTACATATAACAACTGAAATTGTATGTTAGTGTTTACTTTTAAAGTATCAAAGTGATCAACAGTGCATATGTTATTCAGTATTACATAATGCTTCTTTACAGCTCTATGCTGTATAATGGTATTCCTTGTAAGAGACTAAGTATTCCACTGAGCTCCAGTAAGACTGTTTTTTTCTAATGAAGTCTTAAGCTAAACCAACCATCAAGAAGTAAGGAGAGTTTGCATTGGTATAGAGGAGCCAAAGTTTTCCCTTTCAGCAACATCTCAGCAAAGCTTCATAGGCTGCAGCTCAAACAGACTTCCAGCCACACAAGTTTCATCTATAAATCTAAGGAATGTAATGACAGGACAAGAGCTGGTAATGCTTCTTACTCCATATCCTCAAACCACAAACCCAGAGTGTGATAACATTAGAGGAGATGCACAGTGTAAGCTTTGAAAGTTGTCCTGAAAGAAGTGATTACAAGAGTTTCCTGTGACAGAAGACCAAAGCAGCTTTATCTTCAAAAGGAAGGCATCATTCCAGATTATCAGTTCTTTCTGGCTTGTTCCCAAGATTTTAGTAATGGCTGGTAGTATTATCTTAAAGGACAGGTGGAGTAGAGAGTTAGGACAGCTTCACAAATGTTTGGAATCAGCATGCACTTAACATTTGTATTATATTCATTTTTTACATACACCTCAAATCTATTCCATTATTTAGAACAATCAATAATGTACATTTTTTAAATCTAAGGACTGGGATTTTGCTTTTATAAACAACATGGATAGATTTTCAGCTGCTAGCCGTCAGATCCACAAGCATTCAGTATCCAGAATATTCATCAGATGAGCATTCCAGATAATACATGGGTTGACTTTCTTCCCATAGACTATCTTCAGGGAGCCAATGTTATTTCATTCACATTGGTGAGGCAGGACCTCTTAAGTGGCTTCAAAACCCAGGGAGCCAGTCCCTCACCTTGAATTGCTAGAAGTTGTCTTCTTTGGCAGCCGCAGCCTGCTGTTCTGAAAAGTGCCAGAAGGGACTGGCTTCTGACATGCAGCTGTAGAAGGAGGTGGAGAGAGATAAAAGGAAAGTAAATGTCTTTAATTCATTGTTTATTTCATAGTTCTATCACAGAGGAGACTTATGCTCCCCAAAAGGCCAAGACCATTCTTGACTGGAAACTGAGTAGGGAAAACTAAATCCACCAGAATTCTAGTCCCATGTTATTCATATATGGGAAATTCATTGTTTGAAATAGGTCTAAGCTCCCTGCCTGCATATTGAGCACTGTGGTCAACAAAAGGCTGGCAGCCCATTTAGGTTCAACACGACAACCTGAGTGCCACCAGGTGGACTTTGTGTCCATTGCTGAGAATTCTGCGAGCTGAAATCCACATATCAGACAACATGCAGATTAGGGAAGGAAAACACTATACAAAAATGTAACCGTAAAAGTGTGCAAGAAGAATGGGTCACTCCTGTTTCACCAGAGGATTTCTCTCATATCTGCTTAACACACACGACTATGTCAGAGTGTCCTAGAATACAGCAGGAAGGAGTAGAAATTCTATACTATTCTTGTGCAAGGGTCAGGCTAATCTTCTCTGTATTGTTTCAATTTTAGTGTATATGCTGCTAAAGCAAGCACAAAGTAAATATCTTATAAACCAGGTTATGCAGTCCAATATCAGGCATGGACACAAATGTACTTCATGGTAAACCAGAATGATAAAGAATTGTGGCTTCCCATCAGCGAGGAATGAAGTAATGACTGCAGCTCCGTTGCGCCTGTTGTCTTTTTTTACTAGGCACTTCTAAACAAGACTCAAATGGCTGTCTCTGTGTTTTATTTCATGTTTTATGTGGATTAGAACTTGTTTCTCCCCTAAGAAGGCAATTTGAGATCACGCTTGCCTACCATTTTAATAGATGGAATGGCACTGAGGACAATTCTACTCCAGAACAGTGTTTAGTTTTTCTAACAATATCTTTTTCAACAATTAAAAGGCTTTTTACCATCCCTGTGTATTCACTCACCTTTCTTCCCAGCCACAGAAGTTACTCTAATGGATCCCTGCCCACCAGATGTTTCTGAACTGATTGGTTTAAGCTGGCTGGATTTCCCAGGAACTGTACGTCTACCTAAAACAGCAGCAGTATGACTGGTTGGCTTTGGCACTGGGAGTTGGCTTGCCAGTGCAGATGTGCCAGTGCGCCTTGATTGAACCTGAAAAGAGCCACCACGAGGCTTGGAGCTGGCTTGTGTTTTGGGGCTATGGCCTCCCATAGTTTTCACCTGACCTGTAATGAAAGAGAAAAAATGGTTTAATGGCAAATCAGCAAAACGTTTCTAGTCAGAGAGACTGGATCCTACCAGATTCTTTAAATGTAAAATAATGTGTAGATCATAGGGGCCAAGAGATATTGTTTATGTGGATTTTCAAGAGTATTTTAACAGAGTCCCTCTCCTATGAACATTCAGCAGTCATAGAGTGAGGAATGGAGCAAGAAACAGGCAGCTTTCACAGTGAAAGGAAACAAGGTGTGGGCTCTAAAGATCTGAAGACTGATAGTTCACTTATCAGCTAGAGAATCAGGCATTAATGATGGATTAACAATATGCAGTATTTAGATAACACCAAGTTATCCAGTTTAGTGAAGACTCAGACTGAAGAGCTCAAAAAAGTCTCTTAACTAGTTGATTTCTTGTTGCAAAAGAGCAGCAAAGAGTCATTGCACAATTGCATATTCTGATATAGCAAAAGCAAACTGCACTTACTGGCAACTATCCAGGAAATACATCTTTGAAATAGTATCAGAAAGACCAATTTGAAATAATGAAAAAGAAAAAAAAGGCAATAATTCTTAGAAACAGTTCTGAAATAAATACCATTTACTCAACAGCATGCATATCCTTCAACTGCATACAACTTTGATCATATCTCTCAAAAAGTTATTGCAACAGAAAAGATGGGAATAAAAAAACCCTACCCTACTAAGAAAGACATGTAAAGGTGTGGTTTCCTTTCTACAGTAAAAAAGAAGGTTGATAAAACCATAACTTCACCTTCAGTTTGGAAAAATACTGGTAAAGCTCAAGAAATTCAAAGTTTATTCTGAAGATGTTCTTATTGAAAGACATAATTCATGTAATTCACTTCTGCAAGATGTAAATGGATGGAGAGTGAATCAAAACTATGCCTTCACATACACCTGGCTCTCTAATAATTAAAACTTTATAGCAGAAGTGGACAAAGAGCATACAATTTTTATCTCGTTTTTGCTACTGAAGGCCATAGGAGCATGGCAAAGACATGAATGATACTGCTAAAGGAAGAGGGACTGGGATTTTTTTAACCCATTTTCCTAATTTCTGTGTTGGAATGCTTTTTTAAAAGGAAGTAAAATAGCTCCATTAAGCTTTAACTCAACAGCCAGTTTGATGTAGTAGTTAAGGCATAAGGCTAGAAACTGGGAGACTGAATTCTAATCCCACCTTAGGCAGGAAGCCAGCTGAGTAACATTGGGCTGGCCAGTCTCTCTCAGCCCTAGGAAGGAGACAATGGCAAGCCACTTATGAAATCTTGCCAAGAAAATTGCAAGGACTTGTCCAGGCAGTTGCCAGGATACAAGCTGACTTGAAGGCACAAATATATATATATATTACTGCAACAGCACAATAACAGCAGAGCCACCAACAACAGACACTGAACAGTACTGGAAGAACGTATGGGAGAAAGAGAAGACACATAACACCAGTACAAAGTGGCTGCAGGACATGAAAGCAGACCACAGCAGTCTCCCAGAACAAGAACCAGTCACCATCACAGCAGGTCAAGAACATGAAGAGCTGGACAGTACCTGACCCAGACACGATCCGCACCTACTGGCTAAAGAAACTAACTGCAGTGCATGAATGCCTAGCAGCACAGCTGAACTAGCAGCAGGCTCCCACCCAGACTGGCTAACACAAGGAAGGACAGTGCTGATCATGAAAGACCATCACAAGGGAACAGCACCATCCAACTACCATCCAATAACCTGCCTCCCCACAACATGGAAAGTCCTATCAGGCATCATAGCCACCAAGCTATTGGGCCATATGGGCCAGTACATGAACACAGCTCAGAAGAGCATTGGGAATGACACCAGAGGCTCAAAACACCAGTTGCTCATAGAGCAGTTGCCTGAGATTCAAGGTCTAGACAGACCTCCAACTACCATCCAATAACCTGCCTCCCCACAACATGGAAAGTCCTATCAGGCATCATAGCCACCAAGCTATTGGGCCATATGGGCCAGTACATGAACACAGCTCAGAAGAGCATTGGGAATGACACCAGAGGCTCAAAACATTAGTTGCTCATAGATAGAGCAGTCCGAGATTCAAGGTCTAGACAGACCAATCTGAATACAGCCTGGATTGACTACAGGAAAGCCTATGACTCAATGCAACACACATGGATCCTGGCACTATATAAAGTCAACAGGACACTAAGGACCTTCCTCAAGAACTCAGTGGGACTACGGAAGACAACACTGGAAGTCCACTCAAGACAGCTCGCACAAGTGGCCATCAAGTGTGGCATATACCAAGGTGATGCACTGTCCCCGCTGCTGTCCTGCATAGGCTTAAACCCCCTCAGCCAGACAATCACAAGAACTGGATTCGGATACAAGTTCAAGAGTGGAACTACCATCAGCCACCTCCTCTACATGGATGACATCAAGCTGTATGCTAAGAGTGAACGAGACATCAACTTGCTGATCCACCTGACACGGATCTACAGTTAAGTCATTGGGATGTCATTCGGACTGGAGAATGTGGCTGGATGCTAGTAAAGAGAGGGAAGTTAGTTGATGGGATGGAACTGCCAGCAGGCCACATAGCAGACATACAGACCAGCTACAAATACCTTGGTATCCCATAGTCCCATGGGAGCCACAATGAGGAGGCAAGGAAGACAGCAACATCCAAGTACCACCAAAAGATAAGACAGATCCTGAAGAGCCAGCTCAATGGGAAGAACAAGATCCATGCCATCAATATGTACGCCCTACCATTCATCAGATACCCTGCCGGTATAGTGAGCTGGCCAAGAGAGGGCATGGAAGCTGCCAACATGAAGACCTGGAAGCTCCTCACAATGTACAGAGGTTTCCACCCCAAGTCCAACACCCAGAGACTGTACACCAGCCAGAAAGAGGGTGGGCTGGGTCTGGGTGAGTGTCTGTCAGGCCTAGCCCAAGGAACTCCAAGAGACCATGCAAATTCAGTCCAGCAATGTTTATTAGCCACAACTTCTAGCAAGAATCTCCCCAGACTAAACCCCCAGCCCCAAGGCAATGCCAGCCACAACATTGTGAATTCCTCAGGGAGGTGCCAGCCTCATCCTCTTATC